GGGGGGGGGGGGGGGGGGGGGGGGGGGGGGGGGGGGGGGAGCAGGCTCCCTACTGAGCAGAGAGCCTGATGCGGCGCTTGATCCCAGGACCCTGGGATCATGACCCAGGCCGAAGGCAGAGTCTTTAACCCACTGAGCCACCCAGGCGCCCCTTTACAGGATTTTTCTAAGCATTTACAAACATTTCCTCCCCCATGAAACAGGACAGTCCTCTTCCCTTGACTTCTTTACAGAGTTGCTCTGATAGCATTCCATGTTAGTATGTATGGCTGAATCGCTCTCATTCTTCTTCAGTTCTGTGTAATATTTCCCTCTGAATGAATGACAATTTATTTACTTGTTCCTCAATTGATGGACTTTAGACTGTTGGTATTATTTTTCGATTACTAAAAACATTTAATATTTTAAAGCCTTATTCTGCAGTTGGTAGAGGTTTGAAAATGTATGTAAAAAGAGCCTTGTTAAAGATTATCAAATAGAATGAAATATTTTGAATACTTTTTGTATCATCCCTATTTGAAATTATAGGTTTTTTCATTCTTATATTTGTATAGTGTCATATTGTCTATTTTGTCAGTGTTTTTAAAAAGAAAACAGGGGGGTGCCTGGGTGGGTCATTTGGTTAAGTATCATGGTCTCAGGGTCCTGGGATCAAGTTCAGAATTGGGCTCCCTGCTCAGCAGGGAGTCTGCTTCTCCTTCTCCCTCTGCCCCTCCCTCCTGCTCACATTTTCTCTCTCCCTCTCTCCCTCTCCCTCTCTCTCAAAAATAAATAAAAAGAAAAAAAAACTTCAGTCTTCAGGAAAAATAAGGGATTTCAGCTGAACTTAGAAGGATAGGTAAAGGCTCAGAGTAAGAATGATAATAAGAAAGTGTGAGGAAGTAGTGCAGGAATGTATAATGAAATATTTTAAAGACTCAGATAAAGAACTTTTTTAATAAGTTTTTAAAAAGATTATATTTATTTATTTGACAGAGGGAGAGAGACAGCGAGAGAGGGAACACAAGCAGGGAAGTGGGAGAGGGAGAAGCAGACTTCCCCCTGAGCAGGGAGCCCGATTCAATTCGAGGCTAGAGCCCCAGGACCGTGGGATCATGACCTGAGCCGAAGGCAGATGCCTAACCAATTGAGCCACCCAGGTGCCCCTTTAATTAATATTGCTAGGATTTTTACCCTTAATCAGGGTAAACTCCAAATAGATCTAAGATTTAAATATTCTTAAATTAAATGATATAAATTCTAGGGGCACCTGGGTAGCTCAGTCAGTTAAGCCTCTGCCTTCTGTTCAGGTCATGATCCCAGGGTCCTGGGATCAAGGCCTGCATTGGGCTCCTTGCTGGGCAGGGAGCCTGCTTCCCTCTCTGCCTCTGCCTGCCACTCTGCCTGCTTGTGCGCTCACGCGCTCTCTCTTGCTCTGACAAATAAATAAATAAAATATTTAATACTTAAAAAAAAGGAAAAAAATCATATAAATTCTAGAAGAAAAGATGCATAAATTTCTTTTCTTCTTGGAGTGGGACAGCTGTTTTTTACTATGACTTATCATCTGGGAGCCATAAAAGAAAAGACTGACAAGTCTATAAACAAAAAAAACTTAGCATAGCCAAATAAACATCATAAAGTCAAAATGTGAAAGCACATGACAAACATGGAAAAAAAGATTCTTAATTCATAACACAAAGGGCTAATCTCCTTTAAATATATAAAGAGTTCCTAGGAAAAGATTTTAAAAATCCATTGAAAATGGGTAGAACAGGATTGCTTGGGTGGCACAGTTGGTAGGGCATCTGTCTTTGGCTGGGGTCATGATCCCAGGGTCCTGGGATTACCTTCCCCCATCCCCCATTGGACTCCCTCCCAGCTGAGGGGGAGGCCTGCTTGTATTCCCTCTCTCTCTGTCTTTCTCTGTCATATAATCCCTCTCTCTCTGTCTGTCTCTGTCATAGAAATACATACATACATACATGCATGCATACATACATACATCTATCTTTAAAAAAAGAAAGAAAAATTAAAAAAAAATAAAACAACACTGAGGGGTGCCTGGCTGGCTCTGTTGGTAGAGCATGCAATTTCTGATCTTAGGGTTGTGAGTTCAAGCCCCACATTTGGTGTAGAGATTTCTTAAACATAAAATTGTGTAAAAAAAAAAAACACAAACCCCACACTAAAATACCATCTAGCAAAATCATAAAGGTAAACTCCTATGGAAGGGAATCTTGCAGTTATGAAGCAGTATTATTATAAATGCATCTACCCTTTGACTCAGCAATTTTTTTTTAAGATTTTATTTATTTGTCAGATAGAGATCACAAGTAGGCAGAGAGGCAGGCAGAGAGGGGGGTGGGGGAAGCAGGCTCCCTGCTGAGCAGAGATCCCGATGTGGGCTTGATCATAGGACTCTGGGATCATGACCTGAGCCAAAGGCAGAAGCTTTAACCCACTGAGCCACCCAGGTACCCCTGACAATTCTAATGATGGAATTCCTCCTGTGACCCATGTATTAATATGAAGTGTCATATATACAGATTATTTTTTGCAGCATTTTTTTCCCCACTTTTAAAAATTTAAATTCAATTAATTAACATAGAATGTATTATTGGTTTCAGAGGAGGTAGAGGTCAGTGATTCATCACTTTTATGTAATACCCAGTGTTCATTATATCACATGCCCTTCTTAATGTCTATCACCCAGAGCATTATTCATTTTTGAGCAAAAGATTGAAAACAACCTAGCATTCAGAGATTGGTTGAATAAGGACTCCTGGATGGCTCAGTTGGTAGAGCATGTATCTCTTGATCTTGGGGTTGTAAGTTCAAGTCCCATCTTGGGTGCAAAGATTACTTGAAAAAAAAAATCTTGGGATACCTGGGTGGCTCAGTCAGTTAAGCTTCAGCTTGGGTCATGATGGTGAGGTCCTGGGATCAAGTCCCACATCTGACTCCTTGCTGAGCAAGAAGCCTGTTTCTCCCTCTGTCTGCCTCTCCCCCTGCTTGTGGTATCTTTCTCTCTCTCACAAAAATAAATACAAAAATATAAATTAAAAAAACCTTAAAAAAAGGATTAGTTAAATAGACTGATGAAGCCATAAATTGAATACTCTGCAACTAATTGTAAAAGGAAAAAAGAGGAACCTCTCCATGTCCTGTTATGGGGAAAAAAGGTGACAGAGCTGTGTACAGTAATCTTTTATGATAGAGAAAAGTAACATATTCATATTCATGTTTGCTAATATTTGCAAAATGAAACACTGGGAGATTAAAAATTGGTTGCCTATTGGAGAGCAAGGAAAATCAGGGTGGATTAGGACAGGGATAGGAATGTAATTGTTCAGTATATACTTTAAAAAAAAAAGATTTTATTTATTTATTTGACAGAGATCACAAGTAGGCAGAGAGATAGAGGGGAAGCAGACTCCCCACTGAGCAGAGCACCCCATTCAGGGCTCGATCCCAGGACCCTGAGATCACAACCTGAGCCGAAGGCAGAGGCCCAACCCACTGAACCACCTAGGCGCCCCCTCAGTATATACTTTTTTATAGTGCTTTGAATTTTTTATCCCTGTAAGTATACTATCCATTACATTTGGGGAAAAAAACAGTGAAGTATACAAATAAGATAAAGCTATTCTATTTAAATTTTTTTAGAAGTCCATCTTTTTAAAATAATTAGTGAAAACCTTAAGTAGTTCATGTTAAATATGCCTAAGAATGACAAATACTGACACATCTTAATTTTAAATAATAGAAAAATAGGATTATACTAAATCAGATGGTTTTGTAACTTCTCAAATTTCTTTTTCTTGATTATATGAATTTCAGTATAAGAACAGATACAAGCACCTGTTTTGCAGTAGCTGGTCCTCGAATGTTAATTAGCATAAATACTAATGTTTAGGGGCACCTGGGTGGCTCAGTGGATTAAAGCCTCTGTCTTCGGCTCAGGTCATGATCCCAGAGTCCTGGGATCGAGCCCCGCATCAGGCTCTCTGCTCAGCGGGGAGCCTGCTTCCTCCTCTGTCTCTGCCTGCCTCTCTGCCTACTTGTCATCTCTGTCTGTCAAATAAATAAATAAAGTCTTTAAAAAAAAAATACTAATGCTTAACACTTTTCCACGTCAGCAGTAAATTTCGTACCAAAGAAAGCTTTGGTATATTGCATGCTTCTTTTTTGTTTTAATTGTGATAAAAATATACACAACATAAATTTTACCATTTTTAAGGGTATAGTTGAACAGTATTAAGTACATTCCCTTTATTGTGCAGCCATAACCACCATCCATCTCTAGAATTTTTTCATCATCTGGAACTGAAACTATGTACTTACTACTCACTAACTGTTTACCCCTCTTCCCAGTCTCTGGTAACCACTATTCTGCTTTTTCTGTCTCTCTGACTTTAACTATTCCAGATATCTCATATAAGTGGAATTGTACAATATTCTGTGTATCATATACTTTTAAAATGGGCTTTTTGTAGTTGGAAGTCCATTGAACCTTAGGCTTTCTTGTTGCGTCTAGGGAAGACCTGAAAAATGACGCATCCTTTCAATAGGTGGCAGTATTTCCTTTGTTAAAAACTAATGGTCGCCTTTCTGATATTATTTAATACAGCTTAGCTTTGTGAAAATGTTCACCTGAATTCTAAAAAATTTTACCTGATCTAATTTTTTAAAAGATTTTATTTTTCGGGATGCCTGGATAGCTCAGTGGGTTAAGCTTCTGCCTTCAGCTCAGGTCATGACCCAGGGTCCTGGGATGGAGTCCCACATCAAGGGCGAGCTCAAGCTCCTTGCTCAGTGGGGAGCCTGCTTCTTCCTCCGCCTGCCGCTTCCTCTGCTTGTGCGCATGCTTTCGCTCCCTCTCTCTGACAAATAAATAAAATCTTAAAAAAAAAAAAAAAGGTATTATTTTTAATCAATCTTCAGCCCCAGCGGTGGGGCTCAAACTCACACCCCAGAGACCAAGAGTTGCATGCTCTACTAACAAAACCAGCTAGGAGCCCCGACCTAATTTTAAAGTAAACAATGGAATTACTGATTCATTATCAATTTTTTTTAAGATTTTATTTATTTGAGAGAGAGAGGGATACAGAATGAGCGGGGTTGGGGGAAGCAGACTTTCTGCTGAGCGTCAACCCTCACTCCCACCCCTGCCAGAGTTGGGGGAACTCGATGCCAGGACTCTGAGATCATGATTAGAGATGAAGTCAAGCACTTAACGGACTGAGCCACCCAGGTACCCCTCATCAATTTTAGTTTAAGAGGAGCTCTTAATTTTTATAATTATGCTCCATTAGATAGCATATCTGTAGCAGGTGGCTTCCTTTGCTTGTTAAGGGGCATGTGATAAGGGCTTACATTATAACAGATGAAATTTTAATTTTTTTTTTCAAAGATTTTTTTATTTATCTGACAGAGGGAGAGATCACAAGTAGACAGAGAAGCCGGCAGAGAGAGAGGGGAAGCAGGCTCCCTGTTGGGGAGAGAGCCTGATGCGGGGCCTGATCCCAGGACCCTGAGATCATGACCTGAGCCGAAGGCAGAGGCTTTAACCCTCTGAGCCACCCAGGCGCCCCAACATTACTGCAATATTATTAACTCTTTTCTCTATGCTGTACTTTTCATCTCTCTAACTTACTACTCATTTTGTAAGTAGAAGTTCCTACCTTTTAATTCCCTTCATCTTTTCACCCCTGCCTCCTACTAACATTCCCTCTGCCAACTGTTCTGTGTTTAAGAGTTTGTTCATTCGTTTTGTTAGATTCCACATATCAGTGAAATCATGGTAATTGTCTTTCTCTGTCTGACTTATTTCATTTACTGTAATGCTCCCTAGGTCTGTCCATAGTGTCACAAATGGCAAAATCTCATTCCTTTCTATGGCTGGGTAATATTCCATTGTTTATATATGTACTACATCTTTATCCACTTATCTGTAGATTGATCCTTGGGTTGCTTCCATGTCTCAGCTACTGGTTTTCTTTTTATTCAAGATTTTATTTATTTATTTGACAGAAGAGAGAGACAGTGAGAGAGGGAACACAAGAGGGATTGGAAGAGGGAGAAGCAGGCCTCCCACTGAGCAGGGAACCCAACATGGGGCTCGATCGCAGGACCTGAGGATCATGGCCTGAGCTGAAAGCAGATGCTCAATGACTGAGCCACCCAGGCACCCCTCAGCTATTGTTAAGAATAGTACAATAAATGTAGGGGTGCATATATCTTTTTGAATTAGTGGTTTTGTTTCTTTGGGTAAATACCCAGTAGTGGAATTACTGGATCATGTGGTATTTCTATTTTTAGTTTTTTGATGAAACTCCATACTGGTTTCCACAGTGGCTGCATGAGTCTGTATTCACATCAACAGCACACGACAGTTGGTTAAATAACTTTGAGAAGTTTATTTGTAGTCTACATTTTAACTTTATCTCTCCCTTTCTTCATAATAAATCTCAAATTTATAATCAAATTTGTGTTAATTTCAAGTTATTAATTATTTAATGAGTTATTATTGAACTGTCATTTGAAATACTTTTGTTGACTTTGTTTCTCTTATAGAGAAGAAAACTGCATCTCAGCCCTGAGCACTGTAGTAACTTTTATGTGGAACAGTATGGGAAGATGTTTTTCCCCAATTTAACAGCTTACATGAGTTCTGGACCACTTGTTGTCATGATATTAGCTAGACATAAAGCCATCTCTTACTGGAAAGAACTTTTGGGACCAAGTAATACCTTAGTAGCTAAAGAGACTCACCCAGACAGGTAACTTTCCTAGGGGGAAAAGTGGAATCCAAGTATAAAAATGAGAAGAAAACAACAACTACTACAACAACAACAGCAACAACAAAAGTGATTTCATTGTAATAGGAATTTCTTTTCTGTTGAAATTTTTCCCAAGACAACTTTTTATATTTTTTGGTTGGGATGGGGTGGGGTCAGTTTTACATTTTAGCTATTTAAATGTCCATCTTAATAGCAAATACCCCAAAAGGTCTCAGGGAATGTTGATTTGTATTTGATTAGACTAATTCTTCTCATCCTTGAATTAAACTGCCACCTAAGTAGGATTTTACATAAGAATATTGGCATGGCTTTTTAAAATAATATTGTTTATAGAAAGCCAGAGAAACAGATTTTTAGCATTATCATTAAAGTTTGGAAATGCAAGGATATTGAATTCTTGCATTTTTTAATAAACTTTGCCTTTTTACTTCTCACAAAACAACACTTCTTCTTCACCCAGAGAACTCCTATTTCCCGGTGTATCCTCCTGCAGATTTAAATATATTTGACCCTCCTCTAGGTAGATTTAAGTTAAAATTCAAAATAGATTAAAACCTCCATATGTGAGAAGTGGCAATGCTTCTGTAAAATTCCTAAGTAGAATGCATATGTAAAGAGTAAGGAAAGGATATCACACTGGATGGTCATCATCTCTAACTTACTTTTAGTCTAAGGGCAATTTATGGCACAGATGACCTAAGGAATGCACTTCATGGGAGCAATGATTTTGCTGCAGCAGAAAGAGAAATTCGATTCATGTTTCCTGAAGGTGAGTTGCTGATGAGTAATTTAGTCAAGTGCATCTCACTATTGTTTGCTTTTTCTTTTATTTGGGTGATGCATCTGGGAAGGAAGATAACAGGGTTTTTCTCCAGTATATTTTGTCATATTTTGAAATTACAGTTACTTACAAACTTGAGGCCAAGAATGGAAAATTCATTATTTTCCTTAGAACTAAATTGTGTCCTGTAGGGAATCTGTTGAGAGGAGTTTACTTTTTTCTTTCTTTTCTCTTTGACTAGCCATGTTTAGGGTTTCTCTTCTCCTTTGTTGGAATTCCTTAGGTGCTCCCTAATGCACCATTAAAGTTTGTTACACATGAAAAAGAGACTCACCCTTGGAAATTATGATAGATTTCCCATTTTTTCTAATACCTTACTGTTTGCCTAATGAACGCTTACGCAGTTGTGAAATTAGTAGGTCTCAAACTGGTTTTTTGTTTCCATCCTGTTATGGAAGTCATAAACCTTTTAGAACTGGGCATAGTAAGGAACAGCATTGAGGTTTTTAGTTTGTTATCAATATTTTTAGATCCAGAAGAAAATTTGGTGATTTCTTCCTCCTCTCTCTCTGCCTACTTGTGATCTCTGTCTGTCAAATAAATAAATAAAATCTTAAAAAAAAAAAAAAAAAGGGGGCGCCTGGGTGGCTCAGTGGGTTAAAGCCTCTGCCTTCGGCTCAGGTCATGATCCCAGGGTCCTGGGATCGAGCCCCGCATCGGGCTCCCTGCTCGGCGGGGAGCCTGCTTCCTCCTCTCTCTCTGCCTACTTGTGATCTCTGTCTGTCAAATAAATAAATAAAATCTTTAAAAAAAAAAAAAAAAAGAAAATTTGGTGATTTCTGTTGTAAAGAAAAAGATGTAAAACATTGGGGAGCTTTGATTTTTTTTTTTTTTTTTTGGCCTGTTCTTTTTCTTTTAAGTCATTTAGGCCTATTCTTCAGTATTTTCTACTGATGATTTATTCAAAGAAAACTGAAATCTGTCTTGGAGATTTAAAAGTCCTGATTTTTTTTTTTTTAAGATTTTATTTATTGAGAGAGAGAGAGCATGAGCCTGGAGGAAGAGAGGGGAGGACAGAGAGAGAGCAAGAGCAGAGAAAGAGGGAGAAGCAGACTCCCTGCTGAGTGGGAAGCCTGCCAAAGTGGGGCTTATCCCAGGACTCCCAGATCATGACCTGAGCTGAAGGCAGATGCTTAACAGACTGAGCCACTGAGGCACCCCTAAAAGTCCTGATTCTTTTTTTTTTTTTTTAAGATTTTATTTATTTGACAGATCACAAGCAGGAAGAGAGGCAGGCAGAGAGAGAGAGGGGGAAGCAGACTCCCCGCCGAGCAGAAAGCCCTACTCGGGGCTCGATCCCAGGACCCTGGTATCATGACCCAAGCCGAAGGCAGAGGCTTTAACCCACTGAGCCACCCAGGCGCCCCAAAAGTCCTGATTCTTAAATAAAAACTGAGTTTTGTTTTGTTTTTTAAAATACTGATTTAAAGGTTTTTTTTTTACTTTCATCTTTTAATTTTTAAATAATATCTGTACCCAGCGTGGGGCTTGAAATCAAGAGTTGCATGCTCCACCCACTCAGATCAAGAGTTGCATGCTCCAGCCACTGAGCTAGCCAGGTACCCCACAAAAACTGTTTTATAGCTATTTGTACACAAAAGGATTTACCTACTTAAATATTTTATTCTTACTGATCTAATTTCTATCACATATCCCTTCCACTAGGTTTTCTTTGGAATTGTTTATTGTGGAAATTTCAAATATAATCGAAAGTAGACAGAATGGTATAATATTCCCCTGATGAACCTATCACCCAACTTAAATAATTGTGATCAGTCTTATTATATCATCTATAACCTCTGCTTCTATTTCTTTTTTTTTTTCCTGTTTTTTTTTCCTGCTTCTATTTCTAATGCTTCCATATTATTTTAAAGTACATCTCAAACATGAAATGTCTTTTTAATGTGATAGTACTTTAGATTTAGTCCTCTTAGTGAATTATATTTTTCCTCTGACTCCAGACATCTAACTTCTTTCTGTTTTTTTCTCTTCTCATCAGTAAAATACAAATATTAGTAGTACCTGCCTAGCTAGGGATATTGTTAGGGTTGAATATATAAATGCGTGTAAAATTCTTAGATTGTTTGGTGCATATGTGCTCAACTATTAACTGCTATTACTGTTTTATTTTCTTTAGTTTTTGTTTGTCTTGTTTTGTTTTAGAAGCTTTTCTTACTCATAGGGTTATATACCTAAGCTATTCTCTTAGATTACCTTTGGTTTTACCTATCGATTTGTCTTCTAGACATGAGTTTAAGAGACATAATTAGACATTTGAGAAGCAGAAGTTGTGGGATAAATATAAATGATTAATTACCTACCACACTGCAGATCTTCTGCTATGAGAATATGAAGTTCTTTGAGTAAATTCTCAGAGTTTAGGATATGAGCTCTCTCTTGCTTAGAGGTCAGTCAAGAACTAAGTGCAAAACCCTATAGGATGATTCACTCAAAAAAGTCACAAAGATATTCAGAGTTCCTAACCCTTGAAAAATGTAGCACCCTTACCTCTCCCTTTCAAAAGAGATGGCTAATTCAAAGCTTTGCTATATTTTATTCCTTCAAATTTATTGAATTGCCTACTATGTGCCAGAAATACAAAGATGAATATTTTAACAAAAGAAGTACAATTCTTTTTTTTTTTTTAAGATTTTATTTATTTATTTGACATACAGATCACAAGCAGGCAGAGAGGCAGGCAGAGAGAGAGGAGGAAGCAGGTTCCCTGCAGAGTAGAGAGCCCGATGCGAGGCTTGATCCCAGGGTCCTGGGATCATGACCTGAGCCGAAGGCAGAGGCTTTAACCCACTGAGCCACCCAGGCGTCCCAAGAAGTACAATTCTTATACACTGAAAGGCATAAAACATTACTGAGAGAACTGAAATACTATCTAAAATAAATAGTTGTCCCAGTCCCATGTTGATGGATCAGAACAGTCAGTATTGTCACGATGGTGGTTCTCTCCAAGTTGATCAATTAATTTAATGCACTTCCTATCAAAATCCATACATTCTTTTATGTAGAAGTTGGCAAGCTGATTCTAAAATTTATCTGAAATTGCAAAAGATTTAGGCAAGGTAAAACAATTTTTAAAATGAAGAAATAGGTTGGAGAACTTCCACTAATCTTATTTCAAAATTTACTATGAGACCACAGTAATTAAGACAGTATAGTACTAGACATATAGATCAATGAAACACAATTGAGAATCTAGGAATAAATCCTTACATTTATGGTCAGTTGACTTTCAACAAAAGTGCCTAGACAATTTGATGGGGAAAGGGTGGTCTTGTCAACAAATTGTGCTAGGACAACTGAATGTCCACATGTAAAAAGAGAGAAAGAACACAGATCCTTGTTTCACACCCCATACAAAACAATGGATCATTGTAACAACAATGGATCATAGACCTAAACATCAGAGCTAAAAATAGCTAGAAGAAAACATGGAAAATCTTCATGATCTTGAGTTGGACAAAGGGTTTTTGCATATAATATCAAAAGCATGATGAATAAGATAATATTGGTAAGTTAGACTACATCAAAATTAAAAGTTTTTATGTTTCAAAAGCCATCATTAAAAATATTGAAAAGATTAGCCACAGACTGGTAGGAAATATTTGCAAATCATATAAAATAAAGGACTTTTATAGGATTTATAAAGAACTCTTATAATTAATTCAATTCAAAAAAGGCAAACAATTAAAAACCAGGCAAAAGATTTGAATAAGCATTTCATAAAAGATACACAAATGGCTAATGAGCACATGAAAAAGTGTTAAAACATAATCACTGGGGAAATACAAATTAAAATCACAGTGAGATACCACTGCATACCCACTACAATGGATTATAATCAATGGCAAGGATAAAGAGATACTGGGATCCTCACACATTATTGTAAAATGATAAAGCCACTTTGGAAAACAGTTCGTGGTTTCTTAGAATGTTAAACAAATGCTTACCATGTAACTCTGTTGCAATTCCACTCCTCTTAGAATTTACCCATCCAAGAAAAATGACAACATAAATCTACATAAAGACACATGTGAATGTTTATAGCAGCATTATTTAGTATAGCCAAAAAGTGGAAACAATTCAGCTATCTGTTAATGGTTAAACAAAATTTTGGATAGCCATACTATAGAATACTATTCAGCAATTTAAAAACAAACTACTGATACATGCTACAACATGGACGAAACTCAAAACATAATGCTGAAAGAGTCCAGGCACAAAAGACAACATACATGATCTGTTTATATGAAATATCCAGGAAAGGCAAATTTTTAGAAATAGAAGCTCAGTGCTTGCCAAGGGCTGGGGTGGGAATGGGAAATTGCCAATAGGTACAAGGGAACATTTTGGGGTAGTGAAGTGTTCTAAAACTGGATTGCACATACACACACATACACTAAAAATTTATTGTATACTTCAGTGGGTAAATTTTATTATATGTGAATAGGCCTCAATAAATTTTCTTAGTAAAATTACAAAAAATAGATGAGGTCCCTTCTCCCTTGGAGTTTACATCTAATGTTCAGAAGATAGCCATTAAACAATAATTACCCAAATAATTGCACAGTTATAATGACTGTATAATTAGTTACTATATGGTAAGTGCTATACAAAGCAATTTTAGGGTATTATAAGAAACTATGATAAGAAAGGCCCAACTGACAAAGTGACATGAGATCCAGGGAAGAACATTCTAGCATATTGAACAGCATGTCTCTCAAGTCATGAGCAAGAGAGAATGTGACACGTTGTATAAACAAAGATCAGGGGAAGATAAATATGAGATTGGAGATGTAAGTAGAAATTACATGGTATAGACTCCTGTGGGACTGTAAATGCAATGAGGAACCAATGAAGCTTTTTAAGGATGGGAATGGCAATAATCAATTTTCATTTTTATTTTTTTTATTTTTATTTTTTAAAAAGATTTTATTTATTTATTTGACAGAGATCACAAGTAGGCAGAGAGGCAGGCAGAGACAGGGGGAAGCAGGCTCCCTGTCGAACAGAGAGCCCAATGTGGGGCTCGATTCCAGGACCCTGGGATCATGACCAGAGCTGAAGGCAGAGGCTTTAACCCACTGAGCCACCCAGGTGGCCCTCATTTTTATTTTTTTAAAGATTGTATTTATTTGAGAGAGGGAGAGAGCACAAGCGAGGGGAGGGGTAGAGAGAGAGAGAGAAACAGATTCCTTGATAAGTGGAGAGCCCAACACGGCTTGACGGGGGCTTAGTTCCAGAACCCTGGGATCATGACCTGAGCTGAAGGCAGACGCTTATCCAACTGAGCTAGCCAGACACCCCTCAATTTTCATTTTTAAATATTACAAAGGGCCTGGGTCCAGGGTACAGTAAATATGGTAAGTGTGGTCTTAACTTTCATGGAACTTACAGAGTAAAAGAGACAGATGACAAATATTTGTGTAACCAAAATAAAACAAAATTATTACAGTGATCAGTACAAAAAAGAGTGCTGTAATGAGACTAATAGGAAAGGAAACTTACTCAAGTCCTTTAAGACATCTAGCTTTTCCTGGCATCCTGATGAAGGACTCTCTCATTGTTAGTTGTCTCATTGGGACTGAGCCCATACACTAATCACACAGAAATCTGTCTTCCCACCCTCTTTTTCCTTGGGCCAGTGATGATTTAAATCTGAAGACATGAGACCAGCAGCTTCACATTCTCATCTTCATCAAAAGTTGCCCATTGATGACATATAAAAATGAAAATAGTCTGTCAGCTAGGTACCGCTCACTCCTTCTCTTGTCCTTCTCCCTGCTATCCCACTTGGGCCTCTTGTCCCATGAGCAAGTGGTCTATTTCCCTGCCTTCCATGGAAGTGCCTCTTTCTTCCAAAGATCAGTCCCTATTCCCTGGAAAACTCATCCATTAATAAAGCTATTTAAAGGAAAAAAAAAAAAGTTGCCCATTGAATGAGGTCAACCTCAAATACTTTCTTCCTGGCATAAATAAATTCTTTGTTGTACTGCAAGTCTGGTTGACATACATTAGTGTTTGAATAAGACTAAAAAGACTAAAATTTTCCTCGATCTTAAATAATTTATTTAAAAATCTGAAAAATAAGAGTAGGAATGTGGCACACAAAAACAGTTTTTATGTGCATATTCAGTAGTTTATAAGGGAGCGAGAACTATGTGTTATTCACTGTTGTATCTATGCCACTTTGTAAAGTGCCTGCTATTATGTCGGGAAGAATTAATTGTTGGAATGAATTAATTGCCTAGATTTTACATGTTATTCATATATATATATGAATATATATAAATATAAATAATATATAAATATATAAATATATATAAATAATATATAAATATATATATACATATATATATTTTATTTATTTGTATGTGGCAAGGATCAGAGATCCACTAAAAGTAGATAGATTTATTTATGTATTTATTAATTAAATTAACATATAATGTATTATTTGTTTCAGGGGTACAGGTCTGTGAATCATTGGTCTTACAAATTCACAGTGCTCACCATAGCCCATATTCTTCCCAATGTCCGTAACCCAGCCACCCTATCCTCCTCGCCCCACCCCCAGCAATCCTCAATTTGTTTCCTGAGATTAAGTGTCTCTTATGGGGAGGGTATGCTCTGCCTCTCAAATTCTCCGTTCATATTTTTCTTTTTCATGACATTGTCCATTGTAATATTTACTGTAAAAAATATGGAAATGCAAATGCAGACAAGGATGTAGTAGAAAACATGATCAACCTTAGCGGGGTTTTTTGGGGTTTTTTTTTGCCTTTTTAAAAAGTTTTTATTTACTTATTTGACAGAGATCACAAGTAGGCAGAGAGAGAGGCAGGCGCGGCGGGGGGCGGTGGTGGTGCTGGGGAAGCAGGCTCCCTCTCAAGCAGAGACCCCGATGTGGGGCTCGATCCCAGGACCCTGAGATCATGACTTGAGATCATGACCTGAGCTGAAGGCAGAGGCTTAACCCACTGAGCCACCCAGGCGCCCCAATCTTAGCGTTTTGATATATATTTTTTGCCAATCTTATGTGGTCTTATTATTTCTCTGTGTGTGCTTGTGTGTTTTTGAACACACTATGTATGCTATGTATCTAGTTCTGTTTCCCTTTAGTTAAAAAAACACAAACCTTTATAAGTATCATGCCACTAAAATTTGTTTCTTTGTAATGATTATATTTCATCATTTGTGTTAGTTTTAATGGGAATACATTTGTTTTTGCAGTGATTATTGAACCCATTCCAGTTGGACAAGCTGCTAAGGATTATTTAAATTTATATATAATACCAACTCTGCTTGAAGGACTCACAGCACTTTGTAAGGAGAAACCAGCAGATCCTTTTGTAAGAAATCTTTTTATTCACTAATAAAGAAATTGTCTATAGTTTTCATATTTAAAACATTGTATTTTTTTCACAGAAAACATATTTATTTACATCCCTAGATACTTCAACATTGCTCAGTCAGGTGGAAGAATAGTTGGGTAGGAAGAACTAGGATGGTATCCAGGGCCAGATGTCTTCCTTGTTTCTTCCTTATGGTACTCCCACTCATTTGAAGACTCAGAGATAATCAAGAAAGGTTATTTCATTCATTTTTTTTAAGTAAGCTATATGCCCACCATGGGGCTTGAACTCACAACCCCCAAGATTGAGAGTGGCATATTCTTCCCACTGAGCCAGCCAGTCACCTCAGGGAAGGTTATTTTAATATCAGCCCTGACAAAATAGTATCTCCAGCCTGTGTTACCATTCTGAAAGGGAATACCCTTTGGAAGACAAAAGATTTAATCTCTCCTACTAACTTTGTCACTTTTACCAAAAACAAAAGATAAGGTTATTTCTTTCTCTCTCTTTCTTTCTTTCTTTCTTTCTTTCTTTCTTTCTTTCTTTCTTTCT